TACACACTTCTACCACATGATGATAAAACATCAAAGGAGGATAAAAATATCAACATCAGGATAAAAACTAAATTGATAGCTGTGAATACAGTATGACTATACATTACTTAATGTACATTTCATGACAACATAGGTATAACTGTGAGAATAATGGAAAATTGACTTTTCCAATATGGCTGATTTAGCCACCATATTAGTAATTTGATTAGCGACATCAGTGCTGGGATCATTCATGTTTAGTTTCAGCATCAAAGGCACGGTGCTCACAGACAAGACATTGAAAATATACACTCTTACTGCAGACAGATAATGATGAACAAATCTCCATGACACAGTCCGAACATAAAAGCGTTGGACATGAAATTTGTAATCATCAGTGTTTTGAGACATTTGTCTAAGAGATGTCTAGGGCAGCATGTTTCCAGTTATGTCAATGTCACATTCCCAAGACCAGCGAACATTAGTGATTGGTCGAAAAGTAGGAATACAGCCATGATACGTCTTATTTGATTTCCAATCAAAATACCTAAATAAATCTTGAAAGTTCATATGGTGACCAACTCAACAACTCAAGACTTTTGACAGTTTGGAGAAGTTTGCAAATTATTGAATAAAATCCAAGATGGCTACCTGACATCCATATTGAAATTCCAGTTTTGATGCCAGCATTGAACCCTTTAATACTAACACTGCTGAATCCATAAATGCCATAGGAGTATTACTTTTGAATATTTTCCTCAGTACATGTATTAAAATATCAACTGATACATAGATGCACTGTATATCATATCAACAGGGGAAGTTATGATTCATCAGAAATCAGATAATGGCAATATCCAATTTAAAACCCAAGTTGATGTTTCTATTTTTTAAACTATCATTAATTTCATCGGAGTTTGTCCAAGACGGTATGAAAGAACAGTAGTGCCTTTGTCCATGTCTCGGAATTTGCATAAAACACCATGTTAGGAAGGCTTTGACGGCAGCTGAAATCAGCTCCAAAGAAACTCTCTCCATTTTCACAAAACAATGAAGATGAGAAGTAAACCAACCAAAGCAACATCCTCAGGCCTGGTTGTCTCATAACACCCAACTTCTATGCATTTATATCCATTAGTAAACTTTCTATATTTACACAGATTCGCTGCTATTTTATTTCCTGGCTGAAATTAAATCAGCTTCTCAATTTAAGATCAGAATCAAATAAGTTTAAGTTTGATTGTTTTGTGACTATAACAGACTAACAAACAAAACAAAATCTTTTTTAAACAAGGAAGAATGAAGGTAACATTTAAAAAGTTCATCAACAGCTGACACAACCCAACAAGACTACCACCAGTGCGTTACACGACATTATTTCCTTTAGATACTATTTACCAAACAACTGCTTATGACTCACACAGATTATAGTATGTACCTGTAACATAGACCTTTAACATTCCTGACCTATAAAGACTGTTGCAGCAATGTTAGGTCAACGTAGGTCTGGGTCAACTTCTTTTTAAATATACACACTGGGTGGGTCTTTTACAGAAATCTTCAAAGCTTCTGAAGTGTACCGCAAAATTGCCACACATCAAAAAGCACAATTAGTTGTGAATGTAAATCACATCTTTCTGGTCTAACGGGGCAACCATATTGCAGGTAACGTAGAGCCCCCAAGTATATCTACAGGTGCCATGAGGAGGGATCCTCCTAGGGGCCGTATCAAAAGGTTTGAGATTTCTTAAACTTGTGTGGGTGAAGGGTTTCGAGAAGGTGTGTTAGGACAGTGGTTTATGGTGTATTAAGTGTATGAACAGAATGTCTGTGTTAGATCTGGGAAGCCAATCTTGTATCCCCTATATAACACTGCATCAACGCTTTCATATATGAGAGGCGATGGGGTAGCCTAGTGGATAAAGTGTTCACTCATCATGCTGAAGACCCAGGTTTGATTCCCCACATGGGTACAATGTGTGAAGCCCATTTCTGGTGTCCCCCACTGTGATATTGCAGAAATATTACTAAAAGTGGCATAAAACAACTCACTTACTGTTATAACATACATTTTATTCATAAACAGAAACAAAAAAAGTGAACTTCACAGACAGTGTTGCGAAATTGCCACTGGCCCGCTAGCCTGTGGCTAGTAAATATCAAGTCGGACCAGTAAATCTCCACAGTCACTGGCCGGACTGGCTAGTGAATTTTTATGGAGTCATTTTGTAAATATATCAGTCTCTCCGACTTTTTAAGTTATAATACACTTTTAAATGATTCAAGATTATGGCCTGGTAAAAATGTTTATCATATTAGCAGCTTAATGATGAAACCCGTGTCTACATTCAAATGTCGGACCAGTGAATTATTCTGTGGGTTAGTAACTTCCAGGCATAGCTATCCCAACTGGCTTGCAAAATTTGGAAACTATTTCGCAAACTGCATACTGATGATTTAGACATAAACAGAGAAAACTGTACAGAATAATATGAAATTAATGAATCACTTGTTCACGCTTTTATTGCAAAACAAGCCAATCAAAGAATGGTAGTTCACAAATGGACAGGGACTATTTTGTTTTTGTATTGGTGTTGCTGTCTTGTAACAGTGCATGTTCAGTGACTGATATTACGAGCAATAATTCACTACATCAGGATAGTAGCATTTATCAACCAGAACCTTCTGAAGATATCTCACACAACAAGCATAGGGCGCTGATGACCATTTCTTACCTGCAATGTATTGTAGCTTTTTGGAAATATGTAAAAATATATTGTTTTGTTAGCCAATTATGTTCTTTGCCATCAATTGAAATGTATTTACTAATTGCTAAACCAAAGTATCAGTTGTAACTGGTAATAACCAGTTGTGGAGAAATAGCTTTTCCATAAAAAGAGCCAAAACACTGTTGACACATCCCCTAAGTGTAGTATGTTGTTAACACAAGTATTAGGAGCAAGCTAAATAACGGAGATGTACAGTTTGTAAGGTTATATGGGTGTGTTGCTACACAAAAATAAGCTTCTGAAAAAGCTTTTAAGAAAATACAAAATAAAGACGACAGGAAAAGAATTCATCACAAATATTTTTTCTTTTTTCAAACCTTTGATATTTACACAGTAATTATATTTGTCTATACTGCTTTGTATCAATATTATGAAGAGATCTCGCCCACAGTAAAATAATAATTAAAAAAATAAGACGCAGATATGTTAACAGGAAAATCATTTCTGGTTTATGCATACGCAAAAGCATATTTACTTCTACACAAATAATGTAAACAGGAAAGTAGGATCCATTTCTGTGGGATCTGTAGGGATTCCAGGTATAGATGAAACATACGATTTTATGGATAACAAATTCCATGCAATAAACAAGAATTTGTCACCAAAAAAGGCATATGCATCATTATTGATTTGCCAACTTCAAGAATGCTATCAAAGAATATCAGTTTCCAATGCTTATCAAAGAGGCAACTGATGGAATCATTGGTCAGACTTGACTGATGTCACTGTGTCTGTACTGGGTGGAATGATGCTCATGACATCAATCACTGGTTTGGTTCAAACTTGGTCATTTACATACCACCATATAGATGGTGTATAGCTGTGTGTGGGGCTAACAACAAACAAAGAAATATTCCTGTAGGGAGCAGTGTGTCAGTCAATTGGTAAAAATAGTCTCTCTCTCGCCATAACAAAGGCCTAGTTCAATAGGTACGATGTGTGAAGCCCATTTCCAGCATCCCCCGCCATATTACTGGAATATTACCAACCCATTCACTCATTCTAAACAAACTATTCACTAAACTCTCTAAACAAACTATTCACTAAACTCTCTAAACAAACTATTCACTAAACTCTCTAAACAAACTATTCAAACAAACTATTCACTAAACTCTCTAAACAAACTATTCACTAAACTCTCTAAACAAACTATTCACTAAACTCTCTAAACAAACTATTCACAATGATCAAAGAAAACATAAACATAATAGATTTTGTCAGTCATAGGGAAACTGAATGATGTTATTTACTTTTAACTATATCTGGGTTATAAGTGGTCTTCAATAACCCATGCTTGCCATAACGGTGACTAACGGCGGTCAAGCTCGCTGACTAAGTTCCCACGTATCATCGTATTCCGACTATGTTGATTGATGCTCATGGTGAATTGTCTTGTCCAGACTCCAATATTTACATACTGCTGACATATAGCTGGACTATTGCTAACTGTGATGTTAGACAACAAACTACTAAAACAAGACAAAATAAGATTCCTTCAAAACTACTTCCAGCTTCATTCATTCAGAAGCAAGTAAACCTTACTAATCTACCTAATCTGAAAATCTTTAACAATTTTCTGAAAATATTTTGTGAATTAAATTTGTGACATATGTGAACTTAACTCCCCCTAATATTCTTACAGAGTAGAGGCCGAAGTAGGAGACACATAAGCTGACGAAGAAGCCATGGCATTTTAACGTTCAAGCCATAATCCTCCGTTAAGTCTCCTCAATGTTTGAAGATGTTTTAAGTCTCTGTAAAGTTCACAAACAAAACTGTAATGAGAATATAATTATCTTTTGAATCACAAGAGATCTTTAAAAATCTTCATAATTTTATAACCAAAAATAGCTACATTTTTACCATTTCCCTTAAATCAACATCTTTCTGTCTCCAATCTTACAAAATACAATCACAAAACAGGAAATTATCAATGTGAAAACAAGTTTAAAGATGGAAAAATGCACCAAAATTTATAAACTACACAAAACAATCACAAAATCAAATTCACAAAACAAAATTCATCTAAACGTCTTCCAAAACATTTATCAAAACATACAATGAAGGTAACATACTTCACAAGCACCAGCTCACATAATTACTTCATTAAAATTCACCGTTCTCAATTAACAAATCAATACCAACAGCAGCAAATCAGGACACAGTACGCATCAGTCCAGACCTATCAACAAACTTGAATATACAGCATTGTCACTTTTCAATGAGCCACGTGCAAAAACGCACGAACTACCAAAGCAACAACTTGAATTCTACAGATTGCAGTGCCAATCGTAACTAAGCTGTGTCAAGCTGGTGGACTGGCGAGTGATAACGCAGAGCTAGTCAATGAATGAGGCGTGATCAATATAGAGCCGTAGAGGAGGATGCGAGGGAGAGAAGATGCTGGAGACGACCAGTGATGTGAGGGGCTCCGTGCCACCTATCAGTCGAGCAATTGCTTGTCACACATACACTAAACGTGATGGAGCTCGGAGTAACATTACCTAACAGTTGGAACACCTCATAAAATACTTTCTGTAATGGTAAGTAGGTGCATCAATGAATTTATGGATTTTCTGGTTTTCAAATATTTAGTATTGTATAGTTTGGGTGATTCATGTTAAAAGAAGTCTTGTATATGGTAACTGTTCATATTTTGAATGTAATATGCAAAGTGTTTAGAGATAGAGATTTATTGATAATCTTTGTATTTTATGCCTAACTGCATGTGTATTGTTATAGTAAGAGCAGGTCAATTTGAAAAGGAACATGTTTACAAATACCAAATGCTTTGTTTCAAGTGTTTTTACTAACTGAAATAATAGTTCATGAGTTCATAGTTGAGTTTTCAGAAAAATTGTCTGTTTAAAACTACTCAATTGCTTTAAGTCCCTGCTGCTTAAAATACAAAAGTGTTTTTTTACAATAGATAAGCAGTTAATTTGTAAGTTGCACAGGTACACGTTTAAAAGAAATGGCTCACACACAAGTATCAAATTATTTCTGCAAAGATTGATGTTTCTGTGAGGACTTAATCATATATACTTTGTTTTGAATAGTTGGAAATGAAGTAAGTCATTATATTTTACACAAAAAAACTCGTCTGAGACTAGTGTATATTAAAACTTTGCGAATACATTTAAATGAAATAATTTGCAAACAATTACAATAAATTTGTCGGAAGTGAAAGTACCTTTGTTGTAAAGTTTGAAGGATATATGAAGATACAGTGGAATACATGTACAATGTGAATCTGTGTATATAGCACTTCAGGTAAAAGTTTGCTTAAATGAGGTCCTGTTCAGTTAGACAATTAACAAATATTTGCAATGAACAATTACAGTAAGGTAACACAGCCTTCTGTAGGACCTGGATTTGAAGCTATTAATAATTCAACACCGTGCTACAAAGGTCCTTACTAGATAAATTGATCTAGACTTGACATTCACTTATCAAATGTCAACTACACTGCAAAACTATGTACGTCTTAAACAGAAAACAATGCTTTGTAAAGTTGAAAAATAATGGCATCCAAATCTTTGTCAAATCCTTTACCGCTAAATAATTATGAAATCCTTCATAGAAGGAGCATTACTATCAGAACATTATTGAATCTTTCATAACAACATGATACAGTGTCATTAAATCCTTCATATGGTAATATTCTGTAAAGGGTTTTACAAACACAGCATACACTGAACACATGTATAAAACATCAAGAGAAAATAAATATCTGCAGTCCCTGAATTTCTAGCATTTAAGATGTGAGACAAGCTGTATAAATCTGCAACAGTGTGCCTCTTAACAGTTGTAACTGAGAAAGTAATCATAAAACGCCCAATGAAGAGATCTGTGGTCTCCAACTGTTTTTACAGCAGAATTTCCTTATCATTAAAACAGCTAAGACTAACGCTTAGTCTCTGAATATATATAACTTTGATAGTAACAAACAAACCCATTTAAATTGAAAAGGAGCCCAAGACAGACCAGAGATTCAGAACCTGAGGAAATCTAGACTTGCTTCATCTAGGGCCTTCACCCTGCAGAGAGCGCTAGGCAGTAGGAAAAATAATGTGGTTCAGGGACTGTGAGACAGACTAGGTCTGTCTGTGTGTGGATGTTTCTACCTGTTGGCCTGTACTAGGTTTGTAGAGCAGGCCCGCTGAGACGCTGTGCCATAGTTTTACATGGATCCCACTTCGCACGTTACACTGACGTCCAGCCGACCAGTTCTTGTTTTATCTGCTTAACACCTAACACACAGCAGAGTTACAAGTGTCATCTCTTCAAGTCTTTTGTATAATGAGATTGGGGAATAAACCAGCAGCCCTCCACTCCTTCAACATAGGTTCCATCCATATAACCGCATTATTTTCCACCCCTCACTGTAATGCTAAAGCCCTAAATAAACAAGTCTACAGTTCTTTAGGTTCAGGAAACTCTCACTTGGGAACCTATTAATCATCATCATCATCATCATCATCATCATCATCATCATCATCATCATCATCATATCATCATCATCTTTCATAATGAACATGTTTGTTAACCTATTTAAAAACCTATGACTGTTTCCTATCACAAGATGTTAACAGGGAGTACTTGTTGTCACCTTGCCTCATGCTCAAACTTAAGTGTGTATACATATTCAGAGACTAAGCATTATTCTAACCTTTGCAGATTGCAGAGTAATATTTCAGCTAGGTCAATGTCACCAAATTGACTGACACTCAGTGTCGAATATTTTCAAATTAGAACACTGACAAATATGGAATATCAGCAAACAATGTAAAATGTGAAGATTTGTCAACAGGAAAATACATCCTCTGTGAAGATAAAGAATATCTGTGTGTTGATCAAAGACATACTCCTTCTCATGTCTCCAGCACAGTTGGTCAGAACTCGACCACTGCGACCTTCTGGAAGCTTCTTCAACACCACTAATCAGACTTCTTCACACATTTTCAAATGTCACGATTTTATCGTTTCCGCTTCAAGTAAGTGACTTCACTGCAGATGATATTCTATCATATGTACTTGACATTTTAATACGCTCTCTGTCATTTCTGATGACATTCTAAGGACATGCCTCATAATGAACATGTTTGTTAACCTATGAAAAACTTATGATTGTATCATTTGAAAAGATGTTAAAAGATGGGACATGTTGTTACTTTGCCTGATGCTCAGAATTAAGGTTGTAAAACAAAGACTGGTCGGCTCGAATCCAATATACTGCTTGTGGAATAACCGTTTAAACTGCTACATGGTATCTTAGTGCAGTAGCACTAAAACCGGCATACTACAAGCTGAAACTGATTCTGCTGGGCCTAGAAATACAAATCAGTGAAAATCAGTGATGACACCAGGTGTTCATTAGACAATTAAAAATAGTTGTATTCAACATGAATCGCAGCCACTACTTGGTATTAACTAGACTAATGCATAGTCACATAGGTTTGATGTTATTATGAGACGTAAACCAGTCAAATATTGAACATTAATAACATGATTTTCCCGAACTTGATACCAACAGCCAAGTATAGAGGTCTGTTAATTAATTTTGGATAACCTGACGTCTATGTCAGCTGACCTATCGATTTTCATTTTTCACAGACAAGTAGAGTGGCTCAAAATGAAATTATAGTTGATAGATACAGCCTGTTGAAGCGACTCCATTACCCACAGCATCACACATCATTTCAAACAGTTGGAAATAATCTCAAGTTCATCTAACGTTTTCAGGAAAATAATTTGTGGTTAGAAGGATATTAGTTTGTGTTTTGCGACCTTAAATCAAAAGTATTTTCTTTTGAATAACTGTTAGGTTCTGGAGCGATTCCAATTTCAGAGTTTGCCTTTCCAGCATCACAAGGAATATCCATGTCCTACTGAGCTGGTGAAGTCTGTGTTGGTATCTCAGCTGTCATATTTGATTTTACTGTTTAAATGACAATCATTTGAAGTGGTCTTTTTTGGAATTATAAGGAGATCATTGATATTGGATTCTACTATAAGGACTAGAGTGCCTGATGTATACCACTATAAGGATTACGGTTCCTGCCATATAGCTGGAATATTGCAGAGTGTGGTGTTAAAATACAAACAAACATCAATGTGTCGATTCAGTGAACAGAAAAGTAAATGATCCTCAATATATTTCTTGTTTTTATAACATCTACTGACAGAATCAATACTGTAACAAAGCACTGATGTTGACTACTTACTTTTTAAAATAGTGATCAAAGTACCATTCTGAGCCGAACACTTCTAGACTACTACTCTGAACTTGAGGCGGCCTAGTGGGTAAAGCGTTCACTCATCACGCCAAAGACCCAGGTTCGATTCCCCACATGGGTACAATGTGTTAAGCCCATTTCTGGTGTTCATCTGAACTTAGCTCTCAGCATCATTTTCAGAAACCTTAGCTATTATTTGATTAACATTAGTAAACTCACTAGACCGGACAGAATTGTACTTGACTCAGACTTAGGTCTAGAGGATAAGTTTCAGAACGATGTAAGGCCAACAGGCCACCAATCATCACGGTGCAGAGACAGTATAACTTATCGGTACCCCAATACTTATAACCTCCAAACACAGAGCAAAACAAAGCCAGACATACTATTAATATGTGAGCCTTATCTTAAAAGAAAAACAGGTATTATCTATCGAGAAACAAGATCCTCACTTTCAAAGTTACTACAGATAAGGATTGACAACACAGTAAATTAGCTTCCGTCTTGTGCCCACGACATATTTCACACAAATCACCATTTGGAATCAAACAATTATTACAAAAATTCTCTCAGAATGAGCATATTACAATTTGAGGAAAGAACAGTCATCTGTGGAAAAAGATTTCTTTGTCTGTCGGAATGATCTAATGACAGCAGAGACGACAGACTGAAGTTGTTTCTTGTGAGATGATTACAAATGTAATGCATTCCTGGCTGATTGTAAGCAGTAAGTCTTCCTACCTGATGGTTGGGGATTTCCTGTCGAGCTCACAGACAGCAGCCAGTTGTCTTACTACATTGTCACAGAAGTTAGGAAGTATTTCAGAACTTTTACATTATTTCTTCTCAGTCAAGTTTCAAAGACTCCAAAGCTTACAGGACTGGGAATGTTATTAAGAAAAGTGACATTTTCTTTCATGTTGTTTGAATTGACTTTGTATTAGAAATATTAATTTGATGTTTTTCTTCAATCAGTATGATCTACTACCTTCATTTAAATTACTTCTTTTGTATAAAGAACAAAAATTGCCAGATATGTATCAAATTGAATAATATCCTGGCTCTGTGGAACTTCAATAACTTGTTCTCACCATAAAATTAGTTTGAGAAGAACAACACTTACAAAGCAAAATACAGCTTATTTATGACAATAATTTGGCAATGCTGGTTCAAAAGAAACAAACAACAGTTAATTTTTGTCATGAAATAAACCAATAGCACAATCTGATACCTGTCTGTATGAAGATAAATAACCAATAAAAAGATTTACAATCCCAACTGACTGTGTGAAGGGTTTCAGGGAG